GAGGGAAAATGACGATAGTAAGGATGAGGAAAGAAAAAGCAGCATTTCCCCCTATGTTGTTCCGGCACAGTATGAGCATGACATTGATAAATCAGCCCATTTACAATAATTCTACAGTGCACAAGAACATTGTTAATATCCCCTCTTTGGGAATGGCTAAAAGACAGCTTCAGTCAGCAGCACTGCCCTGGGGGAGGGGGTGAGTTTGCGTAAAGAGAATAACGTCAACACAATAACGGTCATTTCGTAAGAGAGTCACGTCGACACAATAACGGTCATTTCGTAAGACAGTCACGACGACACAATAACGTCATTTCGTAAGACAGTCACGTCGACACAATAACGTCATTTCCGAAGACAGTCACGTCGACACAATAACGTCATTTCGTAAGACAGTCACGTCGACACAATAACGTCATTTCGTAAGACAGTCACGTCGACACAATAACGTCATTTCGTAAGACAGTCACGTCGACACAATAACGTCATTTCGTAAGACAGTCACGTCGACACAATAACGTCATTTCGTAAGACAGTCACGTCGACACAATAACGTCATTTCGTAAGAGTCACGTCAACACAATAACGTCATTTCGTAAGAGAGTCATGTCGACACAATAACGTCATTTCGTAAGAGAGTCACGTCGACACAATAACGTCATTTCGTAAGAGAGTCACGTCGACACAATAACGTCATTTCGTAAGAGAGTCACGTCGACACAATAACGTCATTTCGTAAGAGAGTCACGTCGACACAATAACGTCATTTCGTAAGAGTCGTCACGTCGACACAATAACGTCATTTCGTAAGAGTCGTCACGTCGACACAATAACGTCATTTCGTAAGAGAGTCACGTCGACACAATAACGTCATTTCGTAAGAGAGTCACGTCGACACAATAACGTCATTTCGTAAGAGAGTCACGTCGACACAATAACGTCATTTCGTAAGAGTCACGTCGACACAATAACGTCATTTCGTAAGAGAGTCACGTCGACACAATAACGTCATTTCGTAAGAGAGTCACGTCGACACAATAACGTCATTTCGTAAGACAGTCACGTCGACACAATAACGTCATTTCGTAAGACAGTCACGTCGACACAATAACGTCATTTCGTAAGAGAGTCACGTCGACACAATAACGGTCATTTCGTAATTCAGTGTCAGGAAGCAGCAAGACAGATAAACAGAAACGATAGAGGAAAAGCAAAGAAGTAGGACCTACCAGAGGCACCCTTCAGTCTCCTGTTCGGTGTTTCTTTCTTTGTATTGCTGACCTATACATGTCTAAGTCGCTTTGGATATCGGCGGAGCATTTTTTTTCTTTTTAGATAGGAAAGGAAAATGAATATGATAAACTTTCCTCAATGTCTGTTTTGTACCCCAGGGGGGATATCCTATCCGTACGCCCTGGGGTCATTTTGTACACCCGGGGTTGTATTCTTCACATTTTAGAATACTTCTAGTACGAAGATATCTTTGAAACTTTCAGTATTTCTCAAAAAATCATTTTGACAGACTGCTATGCAAAGCGTACGGATCCGATTAACGGGTAAATTTCCTCTTTGGAAAGTGGTGGCACAGAGTTCCCCACGTCGTATGGATACGATAGTAAAACACGACGTATGGATAGGGTTAAACAATATGGTGGTCTGGACATCTGACGGGTACATGTATTTAGTTTTTGTAAGAGTTTTAAGGCATTTGCTTGTTTTGTTGGGTTTTTGTTGTTGTTGTTGTTGTTGTTGTTGTTGTTTTGGGGGTTTTTTTTGTTGTTGTTTAGTTGTTGTTGTTGGGTTTTTTTTGGGGGGGGGTGTTTTAGTAAGGTTTTACCGCGCTCGCAACTGCATAAGGTCATATGAGCGCCAAGGGGTGGATATCAACAGAGAAGTCCAAACGGGGAATCAGACTTACTCTGCTCACCACTTTTGCCTCAACAACACAAAGTCTGCTTCAACTATCAAGGCACCCCGGAAATAGCACTTCACAAGAGAGTGACAAAGATACAAAAGAAGAAGAGGAAAAATGACGATAGTAAGGATGAGGAAAGAAAAAGCAGTTCCCCTTATGTATGTACATGTACATGTTGTTCCGGCACAGTATGAGCATGACATTGATGAATCAGCCCATTTACAATTCTACTGTGTATAAGAACATGTCAATATCCCCTCTTTGGGAATGGCCTAAAGACAATATCAGTCAGTAGCACTGCCCTTGGGTGGGGTTGACGGTTCATCCGCTACCTCTTTTTTTTTGTAAGTGTTTTACGGCGCTCGCAACTGCATAAGGTCATATGACCGCGCCGGACACACCTAATAGTAAAACTTTCAGTTGGTAGGAAATTTTGAATTTTGCCCGGGTGGCGGCCTAAGCTTACTCTTATCGATTTTAGACCACCATGGGATCTTAAATGTGCGCAACGTGCACACGGGCTCTCCGAGATTTTTCGCCCTTGTCCGAGAAGGCTAGGTGTAGATCTTTCCTACCAGAGGATCAAGGGTGTGGCTGAAAGACAGCAGTAAGAAGGAGCAAAGGAGTAGCAGTAGAAAGGCTGCAGAAAGAGTCAGGAGCCTAGAGGAGGGGGCGAAGGAGGTGAGGGGGTGGGGGCAGAAAGAGGAGACAAAAGCAGACGACAGAACATTGCTAGAGAGCAGAAAGGGAGGGGAAAGACAATTTTAGAAAAGAAAATTTTTTGGTCGCTACCCTGATTCGAACCCGGGACCCTAAATTTGAATGAGAGGCCAGCACCTTAACTTCTAGGCCACGAGAGCCCCCCCCCCATCTCTGGAGCTGACAGAAGTGAGAGGGATACAACGTCCCAGAGGAAAGACAGAGGTACCCGGCCCCCAGTAGTAGGGCCACTCAATACAACCACATCCCACACTAGCACTGAACTTATGTCTCCAAAGTGTGGCAGCAGAGAGCCTAACCACTACACCACAGATACCTGTAGTTGAAGTTGTCCTTGTTTCTGATGATGCCGCTATTGCTGCAGCTGCATGTCTTGTGTCTTATAACAAAGCCAAAAACACACACAAATATTTCATGAGTCGATTTACTTTCTTCAATTCGCAAGTTGAACATGAGAAAATATAATACAGTTGAAAATGTCCAAGTTAAGGTTTTACGGCACTCGCAACACAATTGGGTTGCATAAGTGCCAAAAATCAGAGGTGTTACAAGAGAGTAACAAACACAAAAAAAGGAGAGATGAGGATGATCAATGTTTTATAGGAAAGAAGGAGCAAACCATATCAGAGCACCTGCCAACCACCCACTTAAACATGTTACCAGTATGAGACAACAACTGCACATGACTTTTAAAAATGGTATTGATGGACAAAATCGAACAAGACAAACCATACACAAAGACAGACAAAGGGAAAACCATGTTGTCTTAGAGTGTTGTTTTAGTAGAGGTTTTACGGCACTCGCAACTGCATAAGGTCATATGAGCGCCAGAAGATTAGAGGTGTTACAAGAGGGTAACAAACATAAAAAAGAAGAAGGGGAGACAAGGACGATAGATGTTTGATAGGAAAGAAGAAGCAAACCACACCAGAGCACCCGTCAACCACCCACTCTTAGAGTGTGCTGAACAACTAAATGAACTATTATAGCTAGGTGGCTGACGACAGTGGGATTCGCTACCCTCCCCTAGACGATGAATTACATATAATACATGGACTTTTTGTTGGATTTTTACAGTTTTAGTAAGAGTTTTATGGCATTTACAACACAATTAGGTCATACAAATGCCAAAGATTAGAGGCGTTACAGAGAGCAACAAACATAAAAAAGGAGGAGAGATATGGACGAATAGATGTTTGACAAGAAAGAAGGCGCAACCTCACCAGAGCACCCACCCACCACCCACTTCGGTTTTACATAAATTTAGCTGAGGATTAAACTGTAAATGACTGGCTGGCTGGTCAGAGCAGTCTTAAGTCCTGGTCTTCCCACAGCAGACGAACAAGCCACAAAGGGAAGAGAACTGGCAAACAAACAGCTAAGGGAATGTAGCTTTCTGCCGCCCTTGTAAAGGAATGGTAAAATTTGCACGCATTTACCGCAAGTGCTCTGTCAGAGGTGCCTCGAAAAATAAATAGGCAAAGAGTCAGCTTTACCTTTCTTTTCATATTGAATTTTAGTGAGAGTAATATAAACTTTGTATATATATACCTGCATGTGTTTTATAGTCCTGTACAGCCAAGAAAAATTTCCCTCTGGGATAATAAAGTATTGTCTTATCTTATCTTATCTTATCTTATCGTATCTTATCTTATCTTCAGCATTCTTTTGCCAGTCCAAGTCAAAGTGTGTCTGTCAAGAGAAAAAAAATAAATGAGCAAACCATCATCTCATAATACGTAGTCTTCGCCTGACCCTTTCCTATTCACATTCTTCACCTGCAGTCGAGGCAAATTTGTTCGACCTTCAGTACATTGAGCAGCCTCTCGGTGTTCACATTTTTATGCTCTGAGTGCCAGTCAAAGCAAACTCTCACTGCAGACGTCAACTCTAACACACTAGACCTCATTAGAAATGAAAACTAGGCTGCAGCTTCATGTCAGTGACCAACCAACTTTTATCAAAGCCAAGACTTCCACGGAAGAACTTCCTTCAGAGAAACAATCACATGGAGCACCTGGCTGACTTTCTCTTTAGTTTTAGGTTTAGTAAGGTTTTTACGGTGCTCGCAACAGCATAAGGTCAAATGCGCGTTAAGGGGTGGATGTCAACAGAGAAGTCCAAACAGGGAATCAGGCTTACTCTGTTGACCTCTCTAGCCTCAAAAGCACAAAGTCTGCTTTGACTATCAAGGCACCCCAGTGATAGCGGGTCACAAGAGAGTGACAAACATACAAATGAGGTAGAGGAAAAATGACGATAGTAAGGATGAGGAAAAAAAAAGCAGCAGTTCCCCCTATGCACAGTATGAGAATGACAATGATAAATCAGCCCATTTACAATTCTACTGTGCTTAAGAACATGTTAATATACTCCCTTTGGGAACGGCCTAAAGACAACTTCAGTCAGTGGCACCGCCCTGGCGGGGGAGGGAGGGGGCTTAACTCTCTCCAGGCTGAAAACTGGCACTGCACTTTTCCACAGATGGCAATGGGCCGGTAGAACAGGAAAGGCATACAGAATCATGAGTGAGCTGGCTTCAGCCTACACACAGAATCGTCCAGCATATCGAAGAGTTTATAGTGCGGGCTGTGTCTCTCGCACAGCTGCCGGGCCGTCTCGCCGGCGCGAGACACGATCGACACATCCACAAAGGGAGATCTCAGCAACAGCTCCAACATCTCCCCGTTCTGAGGCTCGGAGGCGGCCACGTGGAGCGGTGTGAGGCCGCCGTGCGTCTGTGCGTTGATGTCGGCCCCACTGCCCAGAAGGACCTGAGCGGTGTGAAAAGAGTTCCAGCGAGCAGCGCTGTGTAATGGTTGCCAGCCGTCAGCCGTCCGCGCTGATATGTCTGCCCCGTGGCCAATGAGCAGCTGTGGAACAAAAGGCTGAGGTTGTATTAATGAGTCTAAAGCTCTCTCCATCAAGTAACTGACGGAAAAAAAAGAGAGAAGCAGGAAACAATGATAGAGATTGTTTTATTTAGTTTATTGCTCTCTTCATCAACTCAAACTCATTCAGTGCTACATATGTACTACAGACGAGAATATGGAGGGGAGTTCACTGCTGGAGCACTCAGCATTGAATGAATTAATGACAGAGAAAAGGAGGGAACCAGGAGATAATGATAGATATTGCATTAATTAGTCTAATGCTTTTTTCATCAACTTAAGGACAGAAAACAGGAAAAAACAGGAAATAATGATAGAGATTATATTAATTAGTCTATTGCTCTCTTCCTCTTCATCAATTTTAATGACAGAAAGAAAATAAAGAGAGAGAAACAGGAAACAACGATAGAGATTGTATTGTTTAGTCTAATCTAATGCTCTCTTCATCAACTTAAAGACAGAAAGAAAATAAAAGTGAGAAACAGGAAACAATGATATTATTGATATATATACAGTGGAGTCCACTTAAGGACATCTGTGGATCCGCTACGTTTTCTTCGATTCAGCCAGGTTTTCAGTTTACATGTAGAAAGTTTGCTCAAATAGAGGATAAAAAGATTATGGATTATTTTTTTCTTTCGGTTCCAAATTAACGTTCTGGGAAGGCACTGCTGACCACTGCCACTGTTTACGGTAAAACCTCGTCATAGCGCCCAGCTTGTGATGAACGTAACGCTGGCCATAGAGCGGGGCTGACGGTGCAACAAGCTTTGAAAAAATAAAATGCTACTCTCTGCACAGTGCCCTGGTTCAAGGGAAATAATTCTGCCACGACTAGACGGAGTACACTAATACAATGAATTATCTCCCCTCACTTAAAAGCTGACGATATGGACTTCAGGTTTCCTCATAATCATAAGCTTGTAGAGTGGTGTGTAGTGTGTATGCATTGGCAAAACCTGGCAGTAAAAAGGGGAGGAAGGGGTTGGGGGAGGGGCGGGGGGGGGTTATAACGGGGTTTTACTATAGTACTCTATGTGTCACAACACAGTGGAATCAGGCGCTCGTCAATTTTTGGGCAAGTAGAGTAATTGGCACCATCTTAAAACTTGTTCATTTGTCTTTCTTTCAATTTAAAAAATACCCCTGTATCTTAAAAAGAAGTTGAGATTTTTGCTATTAAATGAGGTGGGGGGTCACCTGGTGTCAGAGGTAAAACTAGCGAGAAAATGGCCTTTGGTGACTTCCAGAGCTTGAGTGTCCTTGGAAACTGAAAATTTACATTTTCCGTGCCTTTGATCAACGATTTACATAAAAATTCACACAGAAATGTGTTTCAAAATTTATCTAAAAGATAATGACCCCGAGATAAAAAATAGATAAAATTGCTTTGCTAACAGTGAGAAACTGCTGGTTTCTTCCATTTTGTTATTTTGACGAGCCCCTGACTTCACCACCACGTCTCACAAAAGTTTCCAGGTTTTACTCAGCTACATAAGAGTCCTACCTTCGCCATCTCTGGGTGATTGTTGTAGGAAGCTCTGTGTAAAGGTGTGTACAGGTCGGCATCACAGGAAGAAACTAGGGAGGGATCGGAGCTCAGCACATCCTGAACTATGTCCAACAGATTGTTCTCTGCCCCCCACAAAATGCGTTTGGACGGATCATCTGGAGGAAAAAGATGGAGTGCATTTGAGAAGCTGTTTGTTGTTTTGTTTTATTAAAGTTTTACGGCATAAGGTCATACGAGCGCCAAAAGGTGGATGTCAACACAAAAATTCAAACGGGGAATTAGGCTTACTCTGCTCACCTCTCGGAGTCTCTAGCCTCCACAGCACAAAGTCTGCTTCGACTATAAGGCACCCCGGAAATAGCAGTTCACAAGAGAGTGATAAACATGCAAAAGAAGAAGAGGGAAATGACGATAGTAAGGATGAGGATAGAAAAAGCAGCAGTTCCCCCTAGGTTGTTCCGGCACAGTTATGAGCATGACATTGATAAATCAGCCCATTTACAATTCTACTGTGCATAAGAAAATGTTAATATCCGCCCTTTGGGAAAGGCCTAAAGACACTTCAGTCAGTGACACCAATCCAGGGGAGGGGGGAGGCATTGAGGCACAACAACAGATGTTTTACTGCTCTACAGAAAAATTAATCTATACCAAAGGCAGAAACAACAGAGTAAAGGTTAAAAAGTAAAAACCCTCTGTGGTAGCCTATCTAGAATGAGAAACAATTCATATATACACATAGGAAATAAAATGCATTCATACTAACACCGTACAAATTCATCATGTGCGCACATTCTGACTGCAACATTCTTTCAGACAACAAAAAATGCTCATACAAAAAATGACAAAGTTTATCAAGTTTATGACGTAACAGTCTTCCTAATTCTGAAAAGCTGTGCCACATATATATATTTTGCATACATTTTTCCTTCTCCCACAAGGAAATTTCAAAACCTTTATTTATTTGTTTAGAAAAGAAATGTTACAAAACTTACAATTACAAGTGAGCCCCCTTATGTTCACTAACACAATATCTAACCAGCAAACTCACTAGCTTTTTCCTCTTCAGTAAACTCCTCAATGTCATCGTCATCATCATCTTCTAAGCTCATAATGTTTTCCAGATCCATATCTGTCAGTTCGTGACAAATAGCATTCAGTTGTGAAGCCTGGAAAAAAAAAAAAAATCACACATACTATACATCCAGTTAACAATTTCATCCTAACTAACCTTGCTATTTGATCCCTTAATTAATTTCCAGCTACAATTCTGTCACATCCATGAGAGTCCTGTTAGTTTGTTTCTACCAAAGCACATACTGATACGCCTGTAGTTTTCAGAACCAGCTAGACAGTTAAAAAAGACGCTTTTGTGGCCAGTAAACCAGAGGACCAACAGGGGATGGGAGGTTTACAAATTATACATTTAATAATTTTACTTTTTTTAATGTCACCGTTTATTAAACATTTCTTTAAAATACAGGTTTGTATAAAACTCCAATATGTCTGAAAAATAACCATCTGCTACTGTTCAAGGAATATAATTAACACAAAGAAATTACCTCTGATGTATCAGTGATCGGGCCAACAAGCGGCCTTCTTCAAGTGCTACTATTTTAAGTGACGTTTTTGACAGACACAAGTTCCGGATGGATATTATCAAAATTATACGAGGTCTACAGTTTGTTCACTTTTGTCTCACTGCGGATAAAACAAGACAAAATCAAATCGCTCTATTCACCCAACTCAGATTTTTAGTTACGAGTCTAAAATATTAATGACCAACAGTATCTGGTACTACTTAAGGATGTGGGTCCTGTTTAACAATAACTATGGAGTGTGGGTTCTGGCTTCCGACTCCGCCGATGATTACTTCTGGTCCTAAACAATTATTTTTTTATGCGCGTGCCGACATATGGGAGAGATATCAAACCTAATTGCAAAACTTCAAATTACGGTCAAATAAAATTCCTCTCGTTGGGATAAAACTTCCATTCCGAAATATTGAAGTCAGTATCGATACCCAGTGCTCTGTGTGGATGATGCCAAGCCTAAACAGACGGGACCCACACCCTTAACACTTTCCTTGCGCAATGCATGTATACGTGCGTCAATCTGCCTCACCATTCGTTGCGGAACGCACGCCAGCGTGCACCGGCTGTCCAACTTTTCTTTGCGGAACGCACGTAGGTGTTCAGTAAAATTGACTGCAATTGGATTCAATGAAAGTATGAAGGTGCACTAAGGGATGCAACTCCCAATAATAAAGTTTAGTCATTTCTCAGTAATTGGGTAATCTACCTTTGACAATAGAGGAAGAAACAACTTCAAGAAACAACGCTATTACAATCGTGATTTCAACGCACTACCGCAGCTAAACATTTCAGTCAGCTGACAATCTTTAGCCTGTCTCTATACTTATACACACAGTCTTTCTTTCAACTAGTCTGCATAAAATTGCATTCTATACATTCAAGTTGAGGACTAACATTCTCCATTCAATTCCCTTTTCAGTGATACCCAATTTATACCAGTAGCATAAAAATTGACTTCACAATCCTCTTTATAAATGTGAGTGGTTGGCAGGTGCTCTGGTGTGGTTTGCTCCTTTCCTATCAAACATCTATCATCTTTTTCTCTCCTCCATTTTTGTGTTTACTCTCTTGTAACACTTCTAATCTTCCGCCCTTATATGACCTTATTGTGTTGCAAGTGCTGTAAAACTCTTACAAATTATCCTCTTTTTAAAAACATGCCGAAATACTGCATTTCCAAGGAATTGCGCAGAGTTGCTAGATCTAGCTCAGCGTGCGCAGGGAGATGAACTGAAAAAGCCCGAGAGCGAGGAAAGAGACTTTAGGAAGTACCCAGAATCTAAAAGCCTGTTCATAAAGACTTTATAATGATAGGTCATAGCAAACTATGGTTTCGACATGGTTTCTTTGATTTTAGCCTAAATTAAAGTGGGTCGAGAAACAGAAAGAAATTTAACAGGGTATTTACAGCCAGATCACTAATAAAATCCAGTGCCTGTTGGGGGATCGGACCTCAAATGCAAACAGATCGCCTGACTCGCAGCCTTGAAAACAAAAGCGTTTGTTTTTTGGGGTCACCATTGGTGCGTCGGCTTCGTTCGGTTTGTGCCACAATGGTCACTTTTCGCTCTCAATCTGGCTAGCCCCACCCACTAAACCAAACCAAACCGATCAAGCCAAAGGGGCACTGGACTAGATCTAGGTTTAGTTTAGATCTTAAGACATTAAAAAGTTGACAGATTTTCATCATCACTACAATTTAGATCCAACTCACGGGTGTGTACTTTTCGATTAAATGATTTTTATGCCTGTCCCAGCCAACCAAGGAGATTAAAAGTTCTAAGCTCCTTGCAGCCAACTCACCTTTTCAGTTTGAAATTGAAAAAGTGTGAAAATAACCCCATGTAAATAACCCCTGGAAACATGAAACAGCACACTCCAACAAAGATCTGGCGACTCTCAAACAGAAGAGGAACTCTGAGACCTGAAGATAGAAATCAAAATCTAGAATCTAGATTCTAGATTTAGATCTTGATCTAGATCTAGATCTAGATCTAATCTAGATCAAGACTTTAGATTAGAATTTAGAATAGATTTCTTTCATTCAACGCCGCTGTGTTTTTCCAGCTAGCAGTCAGTTTTGTCAGGATATGAGAGTTACCTCCCTGAAGTCTATTTCCGGTTTGTCCTTGTGTGCCCCGACAACGATGTAAACAATATTGTTATCGATTCTGGTAGGCTTGGTCTGTGAGCCTGTGACACTGGAAACCCCCACCGAGTGTGTGAACGAAGCAATGCCGTGTGTCCATAAAAAGGTCAGATTTTGGTTTTGATTGCTCTTAAAGACTAAGGAGGAAGATGTTGCGCACTAATTCTCCATCCTTTCGGAAACAATTCAAGTTCCTCCATTTATATAGGACTACTTTGAGTCTGAGTTAGAATCTATCTAGATTCTAGATCTAGATGCGCTGGCATAAGATATCTAGAATCTAGATTCTAGATCTCGATTCTAGATCTAGTTATGTAGAAGTCTTAAGTCTTAGTGTTGTTCGCCTTTCTCTGCGTGCTGACCGTCAGATGCCGTGTGCGTAGTCGAAGAGCGTACGCCCTATGTAGATCTAATCTCTAGCTATTGCAGGAAAAGTATGATATGAGGACCCCGCATACTTCAACTGTTGATGGGGCGAATTTAGATCTACAGACTTTTCCATTCAAAGTTCAGTATTTTGAGGGATACACCATGCATATATTCAGATAAGGAGACCACTGCCCCGCCCTTCACTTTAGTTTTAGATTTTTTGGGGACTGTTTATTAAAATATAATAATTATTATTACACTTGTGAATATATATGTGCAGGGGTTCAGAATCGAAGCTTTTTAAGTAGGCAAGCTACTCTGGGAAGATATAATATAGATCTAGTCCTAGACTCCAGGAGATAATTTTAGCTCTACAATCTCTTTATAATTTTTGTATTTTTCTCATATATGGTTTTAATTTCTTGGTTTTCTAGGTTGTGTGAAAAGACAACACGACGTAAAGGGAACTAGAAATCCGAAGCAAAATGCCTCCAAAAAAGAAAATGGGCCCTCCGGTCCAATCTACGGAGTAAGTAGCTAGATTTTGTTTCCTTTGTTTGTCGCCGAGAATGCTGTTGATGGATTTATTGTGGAGTTTTTGGGTTGATTTTTTTAGTAGAGTTTTTATGGCGCTCGTAACTACATATATATACGGTCATATAAGCTCCAAGGGGTGGATGTAAACAGAGAAGTCCTTACGAGGAATCAGACTTACTCTGCTCACATATCTAGCTTCAACAGCACAAGATCTGCTTCGACTATCATATATGGCACCCTGGAAATAGCAGGTCACAAGAGAGTGACAAATATACAAAAGAAGTAGAGGAAAATGACGATAGTATGGATGAGGAAAGAAAAAGCAGTAGTTCCCCATATGTTGTTCCGGCACGGTTATAAGCCTGACACTGATAAATCAGCCCATTTACAATTCTACTCACGGCGTACAGACAGCGCTCTTTTAGTTGGATCGGCGATGGAGTGACCGGGTCACGGCGGGCCGGTCACCCAGAGGTCACTAACCCGCCCTCCCGCTACC